GGCGGGGCTTCGGGCGGCATGGTGCTCGGAGGGGGCGGGGCTTCGGGTGGTGTGGTGCTCGGAGGAGGGGTGGGGGCTTCGGGCGGGGGCTGCGGGCGACATGGTGCTTGGGGGGGCGGGGCTTCGGGTGGCATGGTGCTGGGGGGGGCGGGGATTTCGGCGGCGCTTGCAGGGGGGGTACGGCGGGGCGGCGCTCTTCTTTTTTGCCTGGGGCGGCAAAAAAGTTAGAGCCAGCCCTGGCCAGAATGAAAGATTCCAGTGTGCTGGGCAGCCATGACTTCTCCAAGTTACATTGGAACTTACACTGGTAAAACACATTGAACCTGAAGAGCCCTGAAAGAAATTAAAACACCTCACTTTGCAGAAATGACGTTTAAAAAATTTAAGTAAACTTCAGTATTAAAACATATTTCAAAGGGTAAAAGATGTACTGCCATGAGCACAGTTATTTGTAGCTAGACCCTTCTGAGACTGTTTGTGCTTAGAAAGCCATAATCCTTTAATCTTTGTCTGTATAAATGGGAAGGATAAAAAAAAGTTGGGCACATCATTATCTAAAACATATACAGTGCTGTAGTAAGAAGACTGGTAGGACCAGTGGCCATGAGATTATAAGTAAAGAAAATTAAAGGGGAACACAACCTGCAGTTAATGAACATTTCCTCTGGTGATTATATCATGCTATGCATGCATTTAACAAATGCTAAAGTCTACTACAACTAGAGAAGAGCTAAATGGTAATCATATGCTCCAATACGGATATGTTGCATCTTCCTAAGTAGCTAAGTATGTGCAAATTACTCAGTTACCTATAAAATTTCCTACTTTTTTGCTTGGATAAGTTTGTTACACATGAATATGCCCTCTCAGTAGATATTTACATGGGCTCTGTTGGATAATAGTACACAGAACAGAAGATGCAATCACTTAACAGATATCCTATTCCACATACATGGATTTTAGCCATTGGCTTCTCCGATGACCTGATATTAAAAAAACAAAAACCCCAGAGCTGCTCAGTGCTCTATTTAGATACTTGGGGTGTCAGAACATTTCAGGCAGTCAGAGAAATTGATGAATGAAAATCTTGGTTTAGAAGCTATTTGATTTTGGGGACAGATATCCAAGTTCAGGTGGGGAAAATGGTGCATGCCAGTCGGATGTAGATATCTAATGTGTGCTTTGCAATAAACCTTTCAAGGAAATTCTGCTGAATTTTAGTCAGGGGAGATTGTTCTGTCTCAGCTACCTGCCAGTTTCTCTCATTTGATGCTCAAGAATAAAAAATGCACCTGAAATGCTCTTGTCTCCCAGCTTCCCCTCTGTGCCATTTCAGTCCACTCTCATTTAGTCCATTTGTACAACCCCCAACAAACCTACACTCAGAACAAAATCCTAAACTGTATCCTCATTTGAAATGCATGGGTTCAAAGGTAAAACCAACCTGGCCATGTGCCCCAGGGTAAAAACAGCAGAGAGGAACCAGCTGAGATTCCAGCCAGTAAGAGCAGATGCAACCAAAGCAGGGACCTTCCCACCCATGCTCAGAAATTCCTACAGTCTTGATTGGGCTTTCTATGCCCAGTGCCAATTTGCTCTATCCCACACACTTTACCTCAGGTTCACTGCACACCTTCCCCTCTCACCCTTTTCTCCTCTGCCCTGTCCCCATCACTGATCACTGTCCTTCCCTTCCTTTTCCTTTGAATTTAGCTGATCCCCTCTTAAATGACTTCCCCCACACACACCAAAATCATGGTACTAACATGTCATCTGTCTTCATCAGACTGTTCACTCTACTTGTGCATGAGACCCCTTCCCCACCCTGTGTCTCTCCTGTCCATTTAGATTGTAAGCTCTTCAGGGCAAAGACTGTGCAAACTCTATGTCGGTACAGCACCTAGCACAATAGGGGCCCTGTTCTCGGTTGGCCTTTGGCCACAATAAACAAGATTACTAATAATAATCAGCAGCCAACCAGCAAAACAAACAGCATTAAAAACATGATCACTACATCTCAAGCCCCATCCCCTTCTGACTACTTCCAGCCCAGCCTACAAAAATGTAATCAACGATCATAATAAAGGCTTACAAGATACTGCAAAGAACCATGAGAGGGGGGCAGTGGAATGTTTGGAGGTGGGCTCATGTCAAGTCCAGCCCAACTCTACTGGAGCTGAAAGTGGGGAGGCCAGGCAGCTGGCTGGCAATGTGTGTACACAGAGAGAGGAGGAACCAGACCAGCATACCCTGAGAGACCCTGATCAACATCTACAAGAGAGCAAAAACTGGGCCAGCTCTTCTCAGGGCTCTGGTTAGGGGCCAGAAGGTTTTGAAATGAACCAGTCTCTCAAGAGCCCCACAGACACTGTCCCTTTAACAGAGTGATTAATTATGCTAAGTAATATTATTGAAAGCGAATAATCAATTAATCAATAATAATGCTAACAATAATGAATAGTTTGGATAATAAATACCCATATATACTTAATAGTCAATAACTACTTGCAATCAGTAGTTAATACTCATTATAAACACCGGTTTCAGAGTAGCAGCCGTGTTAGTCTGTATCCGCAAAAAGAACAGGAGTACTTGTGGCATCTTAGAGACTAACAAATTTATTAGAGCATAAGCTTTCGTGGGCTACTGCCCACTTCTTCGGATGCATATAGAGTGGAACATATATTGAGGAGATATATATACACACATACAGAGAGCATGAACAGGTGGGTGTTTATTATAAACACCCACCACCTTAGAGCTACATATTTACAGAACATCGGTCCCACTGGACCTCTCCTTGGGGTGAGCTGGCTCTCGGCCCCCCTGCGGAGATAGGGGGAGTACTAGAAAGGCCCTTCTCCAGTTGTAGCCTGGGACTCCTAGGGGGGAATGGTGTGCACTCCCCACATGCAGCCTGTTTTCCTCAGAGCAATGTCCCCCTTCCTCAGGGGACATGCCCTCTTACCTCTGCTTCTCTCCTACCCCGCCCGCTACTCCCCTCTTTCATACATATACTGGATGTAGCCTTTGGGCTGTATCCTGATGACTCTCAATCTGTCCCATCTCATCTCTGCTGTCAGTTCCCGGTGGCTTCAATGGGAAAATCCCCTTCTCACAGCCTGGACAGTTTGTGACAGGAATTTTCCAAATTTCCCCTGAATTATTAAGAGTCTGACCCATAGTCCTTTCCCTCAGCTCAGCCTTTGGGGTCTATTATACCAGGCTGGACCCACATCCCCTCAACCAAATCATGGTGGTTTGGATGTGGGAACTGGGCAGGCTAGAACTGACAAAGCAAAGGATAAAAAACCCATGAAGCAATGTCCATTTCTTAGGCATTTACATCTCTTCTGAAGGCTTCTGAAGCTCCAGGTCTCAATTCTCCAGCTAAGTACCAAGGTCTAACACTTCTGCAGTACAACTGAGTAGGGATTATCAAGGAAATGATCAGTTTCATGAAGATGCAGTGACCTGGAAGGCAGGTCTCTGATGACATCATTTGTTTTGGGCTGAGTCTGGGGAGGAGCTCTGTAAAAACCAGACCAAAAGAGAGAGAGAGGTAATAGCTCATTAGCAGCAGCTCTGTGTGCATGTTACTGTTAGCCAGCTCTGCAAGGGAGTTTCTTCAGGGAGTGAAGAAAAGCCTATGAACTGTTGGGAGATTCTAAATCTTTCCTTGAGATGTCAGCCAAGAGCTTCAGCATAGTCACAGCTGCTGCAGTGCTTATTCTCTTCCAAAAGACACAGCTCTCAGTGCAAGCACCGTTAAATGGTAAAGCCTTTCAGCTTTTTATTTTATTGGCATTCCTAATCTGGCAGGTCTAATGTGGGCAGTAAAATGGAGAGATTATTGGTCTCCCTAGTATGTTCATTGGTGTTGTTCTAGCTAGCAGATTACTTGGACTAAGTGTTAGGAAATGTCTCAGGGCAGGTACATTCCTGGGGAAGAGCATGTGAGGTTGTGTTATGGACTCATTCCACACTCAGAGTCTGTGATCTCTCTGCTCCTCAGGGAGTGAGGCAGAAAAGGGACCCTCCCTGAGTTAGTGGGAACACTGTATACTCATCCCTTTAGTTTTAAGGAGGAAAAACATGGCTCAAGTCACAGTGAAATGCCACCTTTCTTACATGCTGGACTTGATATTTTTGTTTTTAAAAAGATGGTGGTCAGCCTTCCCCTCTTGGCTGGAGTTAATTCTCATCCATTAAGAAAAAATTCAGTGCAGTTATATAGGAAATAAGGGAGAACTGCAGCACGGATCTGGGGGAGAGAGGACTGCTCAGCATCTGTGTGTTCATGGAGTCTTTGAGAGTTAGAGTGACTTTTGAGCACTCAGCTTCATACAGTGCCACACCAGTACAAACTACTGGATTACGGCTGTTTGCTAGCAAGGGTTATACTAGGGCTGGAATCAAAACTTTTGGGGTCAACATGTTATTTCAGGCATTTTTCCTGAGGAGTTTCATCTTCTCCAGCAGAATCTCCCACCTTTGGGCCAGTGGTTTTCAAACTCTGCAGTTCAGAGTCCTATTGGTGGTTCACAGAATAAAGTATTTAAGAACAAAGTAGTGGGCGGCTTGGAAGTTGTGGCATGTCTGGGAGAGAAACTCTCTTATGAGCTCTGAAAAATTATATGTTCCATTATAACAGAAGTGGTAATTGAGGTATGTGCCCATCCTTCCGACTTCGCCAAGCCATTGGGGTAACAGATGGGGAGACCATCACTCCCCCTAAACACAAGTAAGGGATAACTATTGCTCCTCACTTTTCCAACTCAGAGGTGCATTTTTGAAAGATTATCACTTCCTCTCTCTCTCTCTCTATATATATATATATATGTGTGTGTGTGTGTGTGAGAGAGAGAGAGAGAGAGAGATGGGACAGTGTCACTATATTTCCCCCTCCCCCATGCCCAGAAACATAACTGAGTCACTCATCACTCAGACTTCCCCACACAAATGGGGGAGATTCTGCACAAGAAACTGTCTCTCCCACACACAGAGGGAAAGCCAAGGATTACCTGCTGCTGTTTCCCCCCTCACACCAAAGTGAATCCCGCATTCTGGTGACACTCTCCTCAACCTTTGCCAATTGCTGCTATGCTAAGCTCTATCCCTGGCATTTTCTAGATACAGTGGCATTTATTTTACTGAGAAAAATAGGGATGACAGTGGCCTTGTCTACATGGGCAAATTTATGATCCAGATGTCACTACCATTGCAGCTCTACAGATGGTAGCAATACTGAAAACTGCACTGTAGACAAAGCCTAGGAGATTTTCCCATCTTGTCATCCATGCCTATTCTGATCAGAGTTAAATGGCACTGTTTCTACTGTTGCTACCACCAGTGAAGCTACAAGGGTAGAGAATCACAGGTCATTAGAGCTGGATGGAGAATGGAAATTCCATTTTGCCAAGGATTTTGAGATTTTGAAATTTGTTTTCATTCTGATTTGGAATGAAACCTGAACATTTCAAAGTTCTCCACACAAAAAATTCAGAAAAAAATTCAATTTCAGTCAATCAAAATGTTTCATTTTGACTTCTTAAATTTTATAATATATAAAATAGAAAAAAAAAATCAAAGACAAGATTTTTAAAAATCAAAACGTTTCATTCCAGAATGGAACTTCATGACATTATTGGAACTCACCCTCCTTCCCTTTTTGTTCCAAAGCAAAATTTCATAAAGCATTTAGATTTGACAGAACTGCATTTTATGAGGAAAAAGGGTCCCACAGAAGATTTTTCAGCCAGCTCTATAGAGGTCAATTTTCCCACTCTAGATGCAGCCATGGAGGGAAATGGGACAGTTAACACCTGGTATTTCTGTGTATTAAGCACTGCACCTGTGACTACACTGACAGTTTAGGGAAAAATCCTCCAACCCCAGGCTAGCTCTGCCAGGGGCGTGCTAGTGTAAAGTAGCTGCAGGAGTTAAGCCAATCAAACCCTGTGGGATTTCTAACCCCTGTTTAGCAGTTTTACTAGTCTTATCAGACTTGTATCTGGCAAGTATGTGGCCCCTCATAGGGTATGTGTTACTTTTAACAGATGGAGGAGGAGAGAACAAGGTGCCCAAAATAAAAGTCAAAGAGTGCATTAATTCTGCTACCTCAGCTGCTACTTACAGTGTGGAAGTTTGCATTTCCTTTGAAAATTTCAGCACAAGGGAACCAGGGCCCCATAACTACCACTGAAACAGAATTTGAGGCCTAACCTTACCTTGCTTCGAAAATCCCATCCCTAATCAGAACACAAGAGCAAAGTACCTCTGCTTTGCAGAGCCCTACTAGTTCATCTTGATGATTTAAGCTGTGTATGTGTGCAGGGCTATGCAGGTAACTGCACTTCAGGACACTGGAAAGTCAGACAAGAATCACTTATTATGCACATACACAATAGTTGTCAGACTCTTATAACTTAGGTTCATTTTCCAAATAAAAACCCAGATCTAAATACCCCAAAGTTTGGGCTAGGTCAGATTTGCATCAGCTTGGTACCAATTCTACTTCAGGTATGTCAGTTTTGCATGAGGACAAGTGCCTCTAACTCCATAGAAAAGCTTGAAGTTTTAAAAATCTGAATAGATCCCCATACCAAAAAAAATAAGCATTTGAACAGTTCCTTCGTATGAAACACTTCCACCCCACACTAGAATGACTAAATGGAATTTTACTCTAACCAGTCACCTCCGCTTTGAGAAGAAGCAAGAGCGATTTCATTTACAAGAAATGTGATAGGCACACCCTACCCAAAACAAACTATCAGATCTGAATACCTACAGTACAGTGTTGCAAGTAATATCAAAGCTATATTTGGTGTGATCTGTGGCTGTGGAAATTGACAAACCATGGACCACATTCAAGATTTTAAATCAATCCTGGCTAGTTATTTATGCTCTCCACTTTTACTTCTGAACCCTTGTCTTTGTTTGTGTATTGTGATACTTAGATTGACAGGCTAAAAAAAGTCAAAAACTATTTAAAATATTGCTGTGCTTCTTACAGAGATGACACTTTTTGACCTTCCAATGACTTGCAAAGATATTGGCCCAAATTCAATCCCTAATGCAAAGAATTAATTTGTCCCATTGACTATTTTAACAAATAAGCAAACAATAGCCACCAAGTCATGGTCTCACACCTCACAGGAAGAGGCATTTACACTGTCTCTTAACAAACCGCAGCCATTTCCTACAAGAATCGCATGGTGAATACCCAGAATGATTCTGCAGAAAGGACTTCCTTTTATCTCTCACTTTGGCAGCTGACAATCAAATTTTGCTTGCTGCAGGTGTGCTTCAACCATCTGAACTATGCATGTGACCTTTAATGACAACCACATGTCTGCCCATTTATGCTTCACATTGTACCAGCCAGAGAGAAGAGCTGATTTCTGTGTGTTGTCTCTTGCCATTCCAAAAAATTTGGCTTTAGAGAGGTAATTAATAAAAATCAATCAATCCAGCCAAGCCCCTATTTAGCACTTTTCATCTATAGCTCTCAAGGTGCTTTACGATGGAGGGCAGCATCATTATCCCCACTTTACAGTTAGGGAAACTGAGGCACAAAAAGGGGACAGTGACTTGCCCAAGGTCCCCCAGCAGGCCAGTGGCAGAGCTGGGAATAGAATCCAGGTCTCATGAGTGCCCATCAAAGGGTCTATCCACTAAGAAACACTACCTTTGCCAAGAATTCAAATAACTAACCGATTCTCTAGCTCTGTGGGCAGGAGCACAGGGATCATTGTGACTGACAGTACATGGGTTCAGTCTTTAATAATCTGTGAAAACTGGCCTGCTTGTAACTGGACAGCTGAAATCAGAAGACAGTTAAGTACTGTAAAATTCACCAGCTGACACTATATAGAATAAGCTGAATTTCATATATTCACAGTTGTATTTGTTTTTGTTTTTTTAAACAGGATCTAAGTGGTCTTACATTGGTAAGTAGTTATTTTAATTCATACACTGAAATTTAATTCTGTATTTTGTACTTTAAGGAAAACAGGCCAAATTCAACCTGGCAACACCACACTGGAATCAGTGTAGTTATAACAGGGTTGAATTGGGCCCATTGTCTAGCAACCTCCTACTTAGATGTCAGGGTTCGGCATTGGGAAGGATTGCTTAGCAATATAAACAAGTGCCAGCTAGAGGGATCTGTGTTAACCTGCAAAATGACAAGAACTGCAGATGTTCCCCGAAGGTGCTGTCTTCATACCATTTACAAGTCTCCCTGTAGGGCTGTGGACAAACCTCTTATTCTCCAATCCAAACCCTAACACGTACTGGAGGAGAATTTTCAAGCTAAAGATATTTTTAAAATGTTATTAATCTAATGACTTTTTATTTTAAGGTAAAGAAGGCATTGTAAAACCAATTTTAAAGACTGGGATTAGTAGGGTTACCATATTTGGAGTGTCCAAAAAGAGGATACTCCACAGGGCCCCGGCCCCGCCCCAATTCCGCCCCCTCCCCTGCTTCCCGCGAACATTTGATTCGCGGGAAGCCTGAAGCAGGTAAGGTGGGGGGGTGGGGGAAGGAGGCGTGGCCCAGTCTGGCCCTCCCAGCGTCTCCAGCCTGGGTCGGCTCGGGCCCTGGGGTGCCGGCCCGGCCCCCCCGGCTCGGCACCGCCAGCCC